AAAGAGATAAGGAAGAAAACTATATCCTGCTAAAAGGCACCATAGACAATGAAGTCATATCATTACTAAACATATATGCACCGAGTGGTATAGCATCCAAATTCTGGGAGGAGAAGTTAAGGAAGTTACAGGAAGAAATAGATAGCAAAACTATACTAGTGGGGGACCTCAACCTCCCCCCTTCTGAATTAGATCAATCTAACCACAAAATAAACAAGAAAGAAGTTAAGGAGGTGAATAGAATTTTAGAAAAGTTAGATATGGTAAACCTCTGGAGAAAACTGAATGGGGATAGAAAGGAATATACCTTTTTCTCAATGGTACATGGCACCTACACGAAAATTGACCAGGTGCTAGGGCATAAAAACCTCACAATCCTATGCAGAAAGGCAGAAATAGTAAATGCATCCTTTTCAGATCATGATGCAATAAAAATTACATGTAAATAAAGGGCTATGGAAAGACAGACTAAAAATTAATTGGAAACTAAATAATCCTAAAGAATGAGTGGGTCAAACAACAAATCATAAAAACAATCAACTTCATTCAAGAGAATGACAATAGACAACATACCAAAACTTATAGGATGCAGTGAAAGTTGTTCTTAGGGGAAGTTTTATATCTCTAAATGCTTACATGAATAAAATAGAGAAAGGGGAGATCAATGAATTGGGCATGCAACTGAAAAAGCTAGGAAAAAAAAACATTAAAAATCCTCAATTAAATACCAAATTAAACATACTGAAAACCAGAGGAAATATTAATAAAATTGAAATCAAGAAAACTATTGAACTAATAAATAAAACTAAGAGCTGATTTTATGAAAAAAAAATAGATAAACCTTTGGTTAATTTAATTAAAAGAAAGAAAGAAGAAAACCAAATTGCCAGTTAACAAAAATGAAAAGGGTGTATTCCCCACCAATGAAGAGGAAATACAAACAATAATTAGGAGCTATTTTGCCCAACTCTATTCTAATAAATTTGACAATCTTTGTGGAATGGATGAATATTTACAAAAATATTAATTTTAGCAGAAGAGGAAGTAAAATACTTAAATAACCAATCTCAGAAAAAGAAGTTGAACAAATGTCAATGAACTCTGTAGGAAAAAATCTCCAGGGCCAGATGGATTTACAAAATGAATTCTATCAAACATTTAGAGAACAATTAATTCCAATACTATATAGACTATCTGGAAGAATAAGGCAAAGGAGTCCTACCAAATTCTTTTTATGATACAAATATGGGCTGATACCTAAACGGAAGAGTCAAACAAAGAAAGAAAATTATAGACCAATTTCTAATGAATATAGATGCAAAATTTTAAATAAAATATTAGCAAAAATTACAGAACTTATCACAGAATAATATACTATGACCAGGTAGGATTTATACCAGTAATAGCAGGCTGGTTTAATATTAGGAAAACTACCAGGATAACTGATTATATCAACAACAAAACCAACAGAAACCAAATGATTATCTCAATAGATAGAGAAAAAACTTTTGACAAAATACAACATCCATTCCTCTTAAAAAGACTAGAGAGCACAGGAATAAATGGAGTCTTCCTTAAAATGATAAGTAGCATCTACCTAAAACCATCAGCAAGCATTATGTAACGGGGATAAGCTAGAAGCATTTCTAGTAAGATCAGGGATATGAAACGAGGATGTCCATTATCACCACTGTTATTCACTATGGTACTATAGAGAAACATTTGCTTTAGCAATAAGAGGAGAAAAAGAAATTGAAGGAATTTGAATAGGCAAAGAATTAACTAAGCTATCACTTTTTGCTGATGATATGATGATATACTTAGAGAATCAAGTAAAAAACTACTTGAAATAATAAAGCAAAATTGCAGGATACAAAATAAACCCACAAAAATCATAAGCATTTCTATATATTAATAACGAAGTCCAACAGCAAGAGAGAAATTCCATTTAAAGTTACTATAGACAATATAAAATATTTGGGAGTCTACCTGCCAAAACAAACTGAGAAACCATATAAACACAATTACAAAACACTTTTCACACAAATAAAGTCAGATCTAAATAACTGGAAAAAACATCAGTTGCTTATGGGTAGGCCCAGCTAATAAAATAAAAATGATACTTCTACCTAAGTTGATTTACTTATTCAGTGCCATACCAATCAAACTACCAAAAAATTATTTTACGAAGCTAGAAAAAATAACAAAATTAATCTGGAAAAACAAAAGGTCCAGAATATCAAGGGACTAATGAAAAGAAATGCAGGGGAAGGTGACCTAGCCATACCAGATCTTAAATTGTATTATAAATCAGCACTTATCAAAACTACTTGGTACTGGCTAAGAGTCATGGATCAGTGGAATGAGTTAGGTATGAAAGACACAGTAGTCAATGACTATAGTTATCTACTGTTTGATAAACTCAAAGACCTCAGCTTCTGGGATAAGAACTCACTATCTGACAAAAACTGCTGGAAAACTGGAAATGATGGTATGGCAGAAACTGGGCATGGACCAACATCTTACACCATATGCCAAAATAAAGTAAAAAATGGATACACAATTTAGATATAAAGGCTGATACTATAAGCAAACTGGGAGATCAAAGAATAGTTCATCTGTCAGATTTATGGAGAACAGAAGACTTTATGACCAAACAAGATAGAGAACATTATGAAATGCAAAATGGATAATTTTGATTACATTAAATTGAAAAACTTTTGCACAAAGCCAGTGCAATCAAGATTAGAAGGGAAGCAGAAAATTGGGAATTTTTACAACCAGTGTCTTTGATAAAGGCCTAATTTCTAAAATATATAGAAAACTGAGTCAAATTTATAAGAATACAAGTCATTCACCAATTGATAAACGGTCAAAGGATATGAACAGGCAGTTTTCAGATGAAGAAATTAAAGTTATCTATAATCATATGAAAAAATGCTATAACTCACTATTAATTAGAGAAATGCAAATCAAAACAACTCTGAGGTACCACATCACACCTGTCAGATTGGTTAACATGACAAAACAGGAAAATGATAAGTGCTAGAGAAGATGTGAGAAAAATGGAACACTAAAATATTGTCGATGGAATTGTAAACTGATCTAACCATTCTGGACAGCAATTTGGAACCATCCCCAAGGGGCTATTAAAATGTGCAAATCCTTTGACCCAGCAATACCACTTCTAGGGCTGTATCCCAAAGAGATCACACAAATGGGGAAAGGACCCACACATCCAAAAAGATTTATAGCAGCTGCCTTTGTGCTGGCCAAGAACTGGAAATTGAGGAGATGCCCATCAATTGGGGAACAGCTGAACAACTTGTGGTATATGAATATAATGGAATGCTATTGTGCTATAAGAAATGATGAGCAGCTGGACTTCAGAAAAACCTGGAAAATATGAACTGATGCTGAGTGAAGTGAGCAGAACCGGGAGAACATTGTACACAGCAAAAGCCACATTGGGAAATGAAACTTTGATAGACTTAGCTCTTCTCAGCATTGCAAGGATTTAAGACAACTCCAAAAGACTCATGATGGAAAATGTCATCCACATCCAGAGAAAGAACTATAGAGTCTGAATGCAGATCAAAGCATACTATTTGTTCTTTTTGTTTTGTTTCTTTCTCGTGGTTACTCCCCTTCATTCTAATTCTTTTTTACAACATGACTAATGTAAATATGTTTAATAAGAATGTATATGTAGAGCCTATATCAGATTGCATGCTGTCTTGGGGCAGAGGAGGGAGGGGGAGAAAATTTAAAACTCAAAGGCTTGTGGAAGTGAATGTTGAAAACTAAAAATAAATAATTAAAAATTAAAAAAAATACTTAGGAAAGAGCTGAGGCAATACTAATCCCACCTCCTCATAATTGTGTGATCCAATCAAAATATTTTGCATTATATAGAAATTGCTTACTCCTTCTATGAAAGCAGGGCACAGCTAGAATTGGTACTCACTCACCAACATGCGTTTCCTTGGTGTATTGATAAATTCCTTTTGTCTTACTCTCTAAGTTTGCCTAAATTGATTAGGGTGAGTCCCTAATCTAGGTATCTTTGAACAATAGTGTCCTTTTTTTTATGAGTAAATACTCTATATTATTTATTTGCCTAGACAATGACCCATTTGTGGTTTATCAAAAGTGGTGCTATCTTTCCCTTTCAGTGAATCATGAATCAATTTAAAAATTCATTCCAGAGATTTTTTTCTTTGGCAGAGAGGGGAGGTTATTTTTTGCCCTTTTGTACTGACAAGTGATGAACCCAGCAGGAATGCTGGTAGCTCCAACATCCCCATATTCAACAACCCTCTAACTCTTAGATCCAAAATAATGGGGAACTTGCTGTGCTAGACTGAAAATGGCTTATTCCTGCACCAGCTTGGGCCTTGCTGATTGAGAGTACACTACAGCTAGACTTTGGCAGAAATCCACAATATAATCTTCCTGGCATGCAGGGGCATGCACTACCACATGCCTCCCTCTACTACCTGGGAATAATAGTAATCAGTATTACCACTGCTTCTGGAAAAGGTGCATTCTTCAAACCCTTTAACATAATGCATATGTGTTATGTCCCTCTGGGAAGGCCTGCCAAAGGATTTTCATGGGGCTGGCTGAAATCCTTTGGCGGGATGCAGGTTGTGCAGGTCTGCCCTAGTTCCACATATCATCCACTGGTTTGGTTTCACCTTTAATCAACATCCCCAGCTCCTGCCCTCGTACTCCTGCTGTTGCTTCATCCTCCAAAATGGAACACCAGGGACGTTGCTGGAAAGGAACTAAAGGCTATTTTCCTCTCCTCCACTCTGTCTCTGCCTGATTCGTTGTTTCTAGAAAGGATGCCTGTTGTTCTACCCACCATCTTTATGACCTCCCAGACTTAAACTTAGTCCCTTGGTCACAACTCCCTATATATGTTTATTAGAATGTAATTCTCCATTAGAGTATAATCCTGTTGGGAGCAAGGGCCAAATTCACGCTTCCAGCACTTAACACTTGGTAAATGCTTTTTATTCACCCATTTAACCCCAAGATTGGTATGAGCTTATGTGCAAAGTCAGCCACTGAGGCATAATTTAGTCTGAGTGACTCCTGTGTTTTAATCTGGATTTATCTTTTGGAAATAATGCTTAGCCAGCTAGTAGGAAAAGGACTAACCTCATCTCAAGATAATCCCATCTCCCAATGATGTAGAGGAGGAGCTGAGGTGACACTAATCCTACCTCCTACCTAATTCCACCTTGAAATATCTACCAATTAGGACTGTCTTGCCTAACATGTAAATTGTTTTGCTTGTGTCTATAAAAGCAGCTTCCAGTTTGAATTTAGGTTACCTAGGCAGCACTCCAACTCCAAGCTGCTTTGGTGTGCTAAGTAAATTCCTTTTGTCTTATTTCCAGAGTTTGCCTTTAATTGGGTGAGGCCCAAACCAGGATTTTCTTTTAACCCTTATTCTCTAGTAAACTGTAGAAATGCTGGGAAAGAATTCCTCCAACCCTTTCACCTCTCACTCTGGAAATACAATACAATCAATACAACAACCACTGCTTATGGAAGGATCATGAGTTAGTCAATTCATCAATCCCAGTGACTTCACTCTTTAGTGTCTCCCTCTACTTGATGAATGCAGGGACTATCTTTTGTATTTGTTTCACCTGCACTTAGAATAGAGCCTGGCACTCAGTAAGCACTTAAATGCTGTTTTTTCCTTCCTGCCTTCCTCCCTTCATTCAAGGAAGAATGGTCAAAAGTGCACCTCTTCAAAAAGAAGTCTTCAGCCTTATCTCCTTGGAAAAAGTTTCCTTATCTCTTGTCTTAGCATCCATTTCCCACATATATCATGAATAATAAACATCAACATGATTTTTATAGCAGTCTTTCTCAGTTCTCAGTAAAAGGAAAGCATTAGTCAACATTGTCAATTAACCTGAACTTAGTGAAGTGACCACAGGGATAAAATGCCATCTTGTGGTTACAGACACTGAATTTCAACAACTGAACAATAAACAGAACAGACAGATAGAAGCAGTGCCTTCTTTACATTTGTTCTAAATGTACAGAGACATACCAATTAGCATATTTTACTTGTTAGGAAATTGGGGGGGGTAGTTTCATATTAAATGATGTTCTTTTTAGCTTCAGGGAATCAAGTGTCCCCCTTCACTATGGAACAATAACAATGCTGTTTCTCCTGTTAGAAAAACAGTGCTGTTCTCAAAGGCTTGAGTCTGCAGGAATGTGGCGTCAGTGAGCAGGTAGCTGCAGAAAGGACAAGACAATAAAGGTCAGAATTGCAGAATCTCAAGGTTGGAAAGTACACCCAAAGGCTATCTAATTCAACCAATATCTGGAACATGAGCCTTCTCTATAACATACCAAAATAAAAGGTCATCTAACTTTTGAAGACCTACAATGAAGGGAAACCCAGTATCCATTACTTTAATAGCAAATAAGGCTTCTCTATCAAGTCTAAATCTGCCTTTAGAATGACATTCACTGAAAAAAAAAGAATTGACAATTTTATTGGAATGCAGGCTCACTGAGTCAACGATGTGATGATGACAGTCAACAAGCTAACTTTTTAAAGTTAGCATTTTTTTCTTTTTTTTTTTTTTGGCTTTTAGGCAATTGAGGTTAAGTGACTTGCCCAAGGTCACACAGCTAGTAAGTGTCAAGTGTCAGGTCTGAGGCCGGATTTGAACTCAGGTCCTCCTGACTTCAGGGCCGGTGCTCTATCCACTGCGCCACCTAGCTGCCCCTAAAGTTAGCATTTAAGGTAACTGCATTAAAGGGCACCAGGATCAGAGATGATAGTCTTGCTGTACTCTGCCTTGGTGAGACTATGTCCAGAGTACTGTGTCCAGTATTGTGCAGTAGTAGAAGGGGGAAAGAGGCAAAAGGGTAAGGAGGGAAACAAAATATTGGGAATACATGAGGAAGAGTAAAAGAACAGAAGTGCAATAGACGAAGGCAGGGAATAGGGCCAGCTCGCAAGTAGATAAGCCAATAGAGACCCATAAAAGCAGGAAAATGAGTTAAAAATTCCAAAGGGTCAAACCACAATTACGAAGTTTTATATAATATGAAGGAAAATGAAAATTCTCAGTGAAAAAGTGAATCCTCAGAGAATTCTACAAAACATGGGAAAAAAATCAAAAGTGCTTCAAGAGAAATACAATGATTAAAAGAAGATAACAGGAATAAAACTAGGTCAGAAATCAGAGTTCTCAGTGATTAATCATTAATCAGTGATATGAAAAATTAAAAAAATGGAGAATCTATCCAAAGTACAGAATCTAATAAGAGTTGACAGATTTAGAACACAAAAATAGGATAAATTCAGCAAAAGGCAAGAACTTTAATAAAGATACATAGATTCCACATAAGCCAACGTGACACACAGGATGGTATGTATGAAATAATATAAAAAAAAGCCTAAAACTACCCACAAATCTTTGGATATAGGCCACAAAGTACTAATTGAATAAATCTATGGGTTATCACCAGAAAAAATACTTATACAAATACAATATAGAGAAAGGGAATAAACATTTATTAAGCTTGTATTATGTGCCAGACACTATACTAAGGACTTTACAAATATTATCTCATTTTATCCTCACAACAACCCCGGGAAGTGTTAGCCACATTCTTCAGATGAGGAAACTGAGGCAGACAACAATTAAGTAACTTGCTCAAGTTCATACAATTATTTAGTCTTTAAGGCTAGATTTGAACTCAAGTTTTCCTGAGTATAAGCACACAGCTTTATTCACTGCACCACATAGCTGCCTCTAATAACAAGTAACAAATTTTATAAGCTGTGAGGAGAAAGACCTTCACCTATGAAGTGAAGCCAATTCAAATAACCTGGGATTTCAATGCAGTGATGATAAATAAAAGAATGGAGCTACATATTCCAAAAAGCAAAGAAGCTGAAGTTACAACTCAGAATCATATATCTTGTAAAACTGGGCCTAATCATCAACAACCACAAAATGCAACAAAAGAAAAACGTCTGAGCCATTGCTACAAAAATACAAACCTAACAGGGAGAAGGGTATTCAACACTCCATATAAGAGAAACACAAGAAAGGCTGATGAATAAAATTACTTTAAAAAAAAAAGCTAAATAATGAAATAAATTCTTTCATGTTTAAACACAATATATTTAAAGTAGCTAAACTGCAGTCTAAAAGAAAGACTAAAGGGGCAGCTAGGTGGCACAGTGGATGGAGCACTGGCCCTGAAGTCAGGAAGGACCTGAGTTCAAATCCAGCCTCAACACTTACTAGCTGTGTGACTCTGGGCAAATCATTTAACCTCAACTGCCCCCCCCCAAAAAAAATAGGACCTAGAGCCGCTAAAGATTTAAGGAGAACTTAAGGAGTTCAAGAAGGACTTGAGAAGGAAGAGGAACAAGTAAGTCCATGATCCAGGAAAAAGAATTCAGGAAAGTTTAGAATCGGAAAGACATAAAGAGGACAAAATAAAGGGGGGGAAATGACTAGCAAAGGGTGCTGCAAAAGAATCTTACTTGAAATAAAGTTTTAGGGTGAATGGAGAAAATATTTTGATCTGTACAGTTAGTTGGAACAAAAGAGTCAAAGGAGAAGAAGAAACAGAAAAAGCAAAAATGAACAATAAATGGGAATGGGAATATGTGGGAGAGACTATGGGAATAGACTAGCATCAAAGTAGTCAGCAAAACTAACTGTAGGGACAAAGAGCTGACTTAAAATAGGAAGTGAATAAAATCAATACCAAATAAGTATATGAAGAAAACTTTAGCTTCAGAATCATAATCATAAAATGTCAATTAAGTTAAAGTCAAAAAATCATCAAAATGAAAGTGAGCAGCAGAATGGATAAGAAAACAAAAGCTAAAAATCTGCTGCATACAGGAAGCACATTTAACTAGGGGAAAAATTAGGTCTTTATTGATTGCAGAAAAGTAGGACTTGCAAGTCAAGCAATTTTAGATAAAGACGAAGTAAAAATTTACAACACAAGGAGAGATAAGCACAGAAACTACATTATATTTCAAGGTATCTTAACCAATAAAACTATATCCATACTATGCCTGCATGAAAGTTAATTGTAACAATATAATTGTAAAAGAGTAATGTTCCTCACTCATAGCTGGACAAATCTAAGAAAGACAAACAAAAAGGAAATACAGAATTGTATGATCTTTTGAAGAAGTTAGATTTGAAAGACTTAAGGCACTTTCTACATGGAAATATTAAAGAATATATATATTTCTTAACAAAGGAACATAATAGCATCTTCACAAAAAATTGACCAAAGAAATTACAAACAAATATAAAAAAAGCAGAAATACTAAAGATATCCTTTACAAATCATAATTCAATAAAGATAATAATTAACACCACAGGGAATACAGGCAAAAAATAAAGAGCCAATAATGACATCCTGAATAAATAAGTTAAAGAAAAAAATCATAGAAATAAAATTTTAATTCTGAAAACATGACAAAAATAGGAGATTAATGAACCAAATATTCAATTTTTTAAATACTACACAATCAACAAATAAAGATAGACATAAAATAGAGAATGCTGAAGATCAGAGTAATAAACAAAACTAAAAGCTGTCTTTGAAAAGACCACTGAAACTGTTAAGAGCAAAAACAGAGAGAGAAACCAAACTGTCAAAATAAAACAGTGACATTACAAAAGAGAAAAATTAAAAAGAAATTTCAGAATCTACCATGTAAAAATGCATGCTATCAAAACAGAAGATTTAAAAGAGATGATTGAATGCAAAAATATAAAATACTCTTAACAGAAAAAAGAAATCTCAAATTGAAAAAAATTCAATCTCAGAAAATAAAATTGAATAACCCATGAAAGACCTATCAAAAGAAAAACAAAATTCTGATCCGGATGAACAAATCCATATATGAATTATTCCAAATGTTCAAAGAGTTAAAGATAAAAATATTCTAAAACGTGAAAAAGAAAATAAATTTTTTATGACATAAATATGGTCCTAATATCTTAATTAGAAAGAGGTAAATCAAAGAAAGAACTATAGGTTAATATTACTAATAAATGCTGGTGCAAAAATTTTAAATAAAATTCTAGTGAAAATGAATACAACAATATAAAAAAATTCAGTTTAATAGAAGTGAATAAAATAATTTTTCAAAATAATTTTAGAAGAAAAAATAGGCATGTAATATCAAAAATAGCTGACATAGAAAAGAAGGATGATTTGAGAATTATCAGAATACCTGAAAACCATGACCACTCACCCTTCCTCCCAAAAGTCACCTGACTTATTCTTTTTCAAGTAAGAACAGACATCGTCCTACACTATTTTATGCTTGTTTTTCTAGCTAAGCTGAGTATTAAACCTGGAATCTAGAATGTTTTCAGCAACTCTAATGTGACACGAGTCACATTAGAAACTGATTTTTGGCAATATTACATGTATTACTAATAATATGCTTAATATTATCCCTACCATTATAGACCCATCTCAAGAAACACACTTCTGGGGTAGCTAGGTGGTGCAGTGGATATAGCACCAGCTCTGGATTCAGGAGGACCTGAGTTCAAATCCAGCCTCAGACACATAACACTTACTAGCTGTATGACCCTGGGCAAGTCACTTAACCTCACTGCCTAGCCAAAAAAAAACCACACTTCATGGCCACGTATAAACTGAACATTTTAAGCAAAATTATGCATTGTTTTATATTAAATTAATTTTTTATGAAGGCAAACATTGTGGCATGAGCTTTGGCGTTACCTTGGACATGAGCTGTGGTTTGGGTACTTTCAAAAGATCACACAAGTAGTTCCGCTGTCCTCTCACAAAGTGTAATTCAGCATCCCTGAAAGGAGAAGTGAGAAAGAAACAATCAGACTCTGAAGGAAAACCAAATGAAACATCTGAAACAAGACTACTGACTACTTATATAAATAAGTACCTTGGTTTATTATTGTTTCTGATTTACTGGCCATCACCATCCCCCTTTACTAATAAATATGAAAAGGTATTTTTCTTTTCAAAATTACAGGATGTAGAGAAGAAAAATATTTAGAATGTATGGTAGTGGAAGGAGAGAAGGAAGAAAAAGAAAGTTCAAAAATCCTCTTTTTGTGCTAGAAGAGATGCAAGTTCTTCATAGCCTAATCATCCCTTATAGTAAATGGCAGTGACTGTCTGCTTGTACAGCCTGGAGTTAAGAAGATCTCAGTTCAAACTCAGCTTCAGAAATTTACTGGTTGTGTGAATTTACTGAAGCTGTATGAACACTTAACTTTTTGTCTGCCATAGTTTCCTCATCTATAAAATGGCACCTACTTCTAAGAGTTGTTGGGGAGATAAAATGAGATGTTTGGAAAAGTGCTTTATAAACTTTAAAGTGCCATATAAATTCTAGTTATTATTTTTATTATTACAAGTAGATGAATATCAGAATGTTTGGTTTAGATTATAAGCACCCTGAAAGCAAGGCCTAATCTTGCTTTTTGTTTTTCCCCTACAGTGCTAGTTTTTTATTCACTGGGCTAGTGTGTAATTTGGCTAGATGATCTCTTAGTCCCTTTTCTAGCTTAGAAATATCCATATCATGTCAATAGAATCTTTTTGATTTTCCAAATGTTTCCTATACACAAGTTTAATTTCAATGTGAAGTTCTTTATTTGGAATCTATGTGAGTTCATTCAGAACTAAATTTCGGAAAGAATTATTGTTCAAAAGGACACCAAAGCCAAAGTCTCCATATTGAATTACAAAACGTTTATGCAAAAAGGGACCTCCTTCAATTTACAGAGCACAAAACTAAGGCCTAGAGAGGAGAAATGTGTTAAGTGAAGTGTTGTATCAGCCACATAAGCTCCTAGGAAATCTGGATTTCCCAGCTTAAAAAGGAGGCTAACATTTTGAGAGAGTGTCCCACAAGACAGGGAACGTAAGAGCACTCTTATTGAGAGGGGAATAGGGGTACAGGCAGGTACATTAAAGAGAGGCAGCCATTCTCAAGAAAAGAACAATGCCATTCTGGATTGACTATAATTGTGAGCAGGTTAATGATAGGCATTGTTTACTGACATGCTTATCGAGAGAGCAATCTTCCCCAGAATTTGCCTGACTGGCTATAGATCATATTACCTAGGGAGCTAATGGGAACTGGTGAATTTATCCATTCTCTCTTTCCTTTCCTTCTTAGGCATTTTCACTGCTTGACCAACTTTTCTTGAGTTTTCTGTTCTTTTAAACTGTGATTGCTTGCTGTCTGTACTTTGATGATGGATTTGAGTTTAATGTATTTCTATACCACATTTGTGCGTCTGTGTGACTGTGTTTAATTTTTCTTTATCCATTTCAGGTGAAAGTGAGGTTTATGATATACCCATATATGTATGCCTTGTTCCAAGATTAGATAATATTCATCTAATGCAACTCTATTATGTGCTGGTGATCTCCGTCTCATTCCTCTTCTTTTTTTCCCAGTATAGTCACTTATCCCTCACATTTTTATTTTCTGACACAATCAAAACAAAACAAAAACACCTCCAGGCTGTTTGCCATATTTGCCTTTATCTATAGGACCCTTGAAGATATTAGGGTTCTGAGAAAACAACTGTTTTCTTCCTATTACCAGGTAAAAATTCCTCCCATAGTCCATTCCAGCTGATCAAATGTATGTACGTTTCTATGTTTCTTTTTCTTGTGTTTCCATTTCAAAGTGTCTACTCAGTTCTGGTATTTTCACCAGGAAAGACTTGAAAACCTACATTTTATTAAAGGTCCATTTTTCCCCATTTTAAATCTCATTGCATTTCTTTTTATACTACTCTTATAATACTTATGACCAATACAGTATTTTTTCTCTCTCTAAAGTTCTATGTGGACTTCTTGTGGGGTTATTCTCTTCGTTAGCTACGGTCCCAAATTATCATCTGCCCACTGGACATTTCAAACTTGATGTCCCACAGGCACCTCAATCTCACAAGGTCCAAAACAGAATTCATTATTTCTTCTTCAAATACCTCCCCTTTTCCTTTCCTATTATTGAAAAGGACACCAACATTCTCCCAGTTATACCCACATTCAAAACCTCAGTGATTACCTACTTCAAAACTTGAGCTGCTTACTCACTTACCCATATTGCTAATTATTTACCAAATCCTATTCTACCTTCACAGCATCTCTTGCATTGCTCCCATTCTCATTACACACACCACACCTGCCTTAGTTCTGGCCCTTATCAACTTATCTGGACTACCACAATATTCTTCTTATTGCACACCCTGCCTCAGAGCTATCCTCAATCCATCACCTACACAGTTGCAAGTGATTTTCCTGACCATGCCACTCTCCTACTCAGTAAACTCTAATGGTGCCCTATTACCTCTGAGATCAAATACAAACTTCTCTGGCATTTAAAACTCTTACAGCTTCATTGCTTAGTGTCTTCCCAGGCTTCTTACATTTTAATCCCCTCTACACATTCTATGATTATGCCATATTGACCCATTTGCTATTTCTCACACACAATTCTCTATGTCCCATCTCTATGTCTTTGTAATGGTTATTTGCCGTGCATGAAACGCTCCCCTCAATTCCCTACCAGCTAATTCAATGTTACTGCAGTTCTGCTACAGAACTTTCACTTCGGGGCAGCTAGGTGGCAAAGTGGATAGAGCGCCAGCCCTGAAATCAGGAGTACCTGAGTTCAAATCCGGCCTCAGACACACAACACTTACTAGCTGTGTGACTCTGGGCAAGTCACTTAATCCCAATTGCCTCACTACAAAAAAAGAAAAAAAAGAACTTTCACTTCCCAAAAAGTGAATCACAATGAAAACAGAAGGTACAGTTCTATCCATTAAAAAACCCAGTAAGATAGGAAATATTATAGGACAGGGGTGGAGAACTGTAGCCTCAAGGCCACATGTGGCCTTCTAGGTCCTCAAGTGCAGCCCTCTGATTGAAACCAAACTTCACAAAACAAATTTCCTTAATAAAAGGATTTATTCTGTAAAACTTGGATTTGGTCAAAAGGCTGCATGTTCCCTACCCCTCTTCTAGGACATACTGTCCATTAGGAATGGGATATAGAATACTAAATCATTTTCTTCTAAATATTAGCTTGGAAAGATAATTTCTGAATTTCTCAAAAACCAGGGGTGTGGCAGAAAAAACAGTTCTAAAGCTCTTCTCTTATGTTTCAACCTTCTAGCCTCAATCTTCAGCATTGTCAAGCCCTAACCGTTCCATTTTGTGTGTCATGGAGATTTCTGAAGAAGCTGTCCCTTTTTTGGGGTTTTTTAAGAAACCCAAGTTACTTTACAGACATCATGGACAAAAGAGGAAGATTTTATTGGACCTTTGTGCCATTCTACAGTTCATGAGTTTCTATGGAAAGAACTAAGATCCTAACAATATTTTGGCTTGGGACCATAGGAACTTACAGGATGATGAATTAGGCAACCAGGTGGCACTGTGGATAGAGGTCTGGGACTGAAGTCAGGAAGACCTGAGTTCTAATTTGGCCTCAGATGTTTACTAGCTATCTAATTCTGGGCAAATCACTTAACCTCTGACTGGGGATGATAATACCTACTTCACAGTATTGTGAGGCTCAAAGGAAAAAATATCTGTAGAGTGCATGACACATTATAATGTGCACTTAATAAATGTTTGTTCCCTTTTTTCCTGTATGCCATTTCTCCACCTTTGATAACATAGAATAAGAAGCAGTTCACCAGCTTGTTTGGAAACCATAAGTGATTTCTCAGTAGTCTTATTTCTAATAATGAATTAACTTACCATGCAGTGTCACTGAGTATAGTCATAACTTCATCAAAGATAGCTGGATCAACAATGTCACTATAGGTTAACACCATTTCATAAATTTGACTGGCAGTTGTTTTTCTTATCTAGGGCAGAAAGTTGAGTGTATTAGTTGTAGACAAACATACTAAGCTACCTCACCACTATAGCATATTTGATGAGATCTATTTCTATTTCTGTGTTCATAAACATAGCTAGTAATAAATAATGTGTACAAAATCTACCACTGACAGTGGTCAGGTTCCTACCCTACTTAGGATAGCCATGTATACAATTACATATAAGCATTTGTACTTACAGATAATCAGATGATAGTCCTTTCTGCTTCCAACATGTCCCCTAACAGGACAGCTAACAAGCCCAAAGAGGCATTCAGAACTGAGCTAATAGCAGTCTCTCACAACTACCACCAACACTGCCTACTTTGAGTCATGTAGAATCCAGCTAGCAGTATACCTAGCTCCATGGGCACAGAAACAGATCAGTGTAATAATTAGCTAGGGGACGATTGGGGGTGGAAGGGATGGTGTCTTCTCATTAACTTCTCACAAGTCTCAATCCCCTAATTACCATTAGTCAGTATCTCAGACTGGGTGTTGGTGGAAAGGCTGAGAATATCCAATTTAGCCTGAGAAACTGATGTTTCTAAGTGGGAAATCCAGAATACAGCCAAGTTGAAAGGCATCACTATATAAACTAAGCATATCTGTCTTCTCCCAACAATCCTTATAAGCAAGGAAAGAGTTGTGTTGTTTTTGTTTTTTTTAATCATAGCAAAAAACCCCAGAATAATCAAGTATGTAGGGACTGATCTCATAGTGTAAGCAAATGACTGCTAGATCTTATGCTGTGAAAAGTTCACACTTACCATAGAGCAGATCTAGTGGAAAGAAAGGATCTTAAGGAACCCAGTTTATCAAATGAACATTATTCCTTTCCATCTAGTTTAGTCATACCACCTTACTTGCTTTTCCTCACATATGATGTTCCATAACCTGTTTCTGTGCCTTTACACTGACTGGAATGCTCTCCCTACTAAGTTCAACCTTGTAGAGTTCTTAGCTTTTTAAAAAATTTAGTTCACACACATGTTCTAAATGTTTTATGGTCTACACATCTGCTAAATGCTTTCCCCTCTAAAGCTACCCTCTATCTACTCTATATTTATATTGAAGGTACAGATTTATATACATCTAGTAGGAGGTCTGGTGCAGGAGCAGAGTGCCTGGCATGGTATGGCTCCTCTCCATGTGCACATGAACTGAAGTGAGCCAGGATAACATTGTACACAGTAACAGCAAAACTGAACAACAACACTGTGAATGACTTGGCTGGTCTTAGCAACATAATGATCTAAGACAATCTGATAGGACTCATGATGAAACATGCAATCTGCCTCCAGAGATCCAGACAAATGATGTTGTCTGAATACAGACTGAAGCATATTATTTTTCGCTTTTTTTTTGTCTTCTTGCACAAAATGACTAATATGGAAATGTTTTACATGATTGCACATGTATACCCTATATCAGATTGCTTAATGTCTCAAAGAGGGGGGAGGGGAGGGAGGAAGGAATAAAATTTGGAACTCAAAACTTTTTAAAAAATGTTAAAAATTGTTGTTACGTGTAATTGTGGGAAAAATAAAATATTATTTAAAAATTTTACAAAGCTGGATAAAGAAGGCATGCGCACGCGCACACACACACACACACACAAACCCTGAAGAGGACCTTCAAAAAAAACCCTTAAAAACAGAATAGGCCAAATGTTTAAAAAGGCATAAAAATCCAATGAAGAGAATTCCTTAAAATGTAGAGTTGGCCAAATGGGAAAAGAGGTACAAAATTTCGCTGAAGAAAAGAACTCCTTAAAAACTAGAATTGGCCAAAGGGGAAAGGAGGTACAAAAGCTCACTAAAGAAAATCATTCGTTAAAGAGTAGAATTAGGCAAGTGGATGCTGATGGCTCCACGAGACATCAAAAAACAGGAAAACAAAATCAAAAGAATGAAAAAAATTGAAGAAAATGTGAAAAATCTCATTGGAAAAAAAAACTGACCTGAAAAATAGATCAAAGAGAGATAATTGTAGCATTATTAGACTACCTGAAAGCCATGATTTAAAAAAAAAAGCCTGGACATCATATTTAAATAAATCATCAAAGAAAACTGCCCTGATATCCTAAAACCAGAGGGTAAAATAGAAATTGAAAGTGTCCACCCATCACCTCCTGAAAAAGATCCCAAAATGAAACTCACCGGAATATTATAGCCAAATTTCAGAACTCCTAGCAAAAGGAGAAAATACTCCAAGCAACCAAAAACACAATTAAAATATAATGGAGCCACAGTCACAAAACACAAGATTTAGCAGCTTCTATATTAAAAGATCAGAGGTCGTGGAATATGATATTCCAGAAGGCAAAGCAGCTAAGGTTACAACCACACATCATTTACCCATCAAGACTGAATATAATCCTGCAGGTGAAAAAAAAAACATTTAATGAAATAGAAGAATTTCAAGCTTTCTGATGAAAAGACCAGGGCTGAACAGAAAATAATGACTTTCAAATACAAGACTTGAGAGAAGCATAAAAAGGCAAACAGCAAAGAGAAATCATAAGGGATTCAGTAAAGTTAAACTGTTTACATTCCAACATGGGAAGATGGTGCTTGTAACTCTTAAAAATGTTATCATTAGGACAGTTAAAAGGAGTATACATAGACAGAAGGCATGGGTGTGAGTTGAGTATGATGGGATGATATCCCAAAAATAAAATTAAGGAATGCACTCAGGAAAGAAGGAAGGGAGAGGTCAGAGAATCAAATTCTCACATAAAAGAAGCATAAAAGAGCTTTTAATGTAGAGGAGAAAATGGGAGTGGGCTGGCAGGTAATGTTTGAAGCTTACTCTCACTGAAATTGGCTCAAAGAGGAAATAATATACACACTCAGTTGGGTTTAGAATTCTATCTTACCCTATAGGAACAGGAAGGAAGGAATCAGAGAAAGAAAGGAGGCTGATAGAAAGGAGGGCAGATCAGGGGAGATGGTGGTCAGAAGCCAAACACTTTTGAAAAGGGAAAGGGTGAAAGGAAAGAGAGAAGGATAAATGGGAAAAAAGCAGGATGTAGGGAAATACAAAGTTAGTAATCAAGAAAGAAAATGTAAATAAGATAAATTCACCCATAAATTGGAAACAAATAGCAGAATGAATTAAAAATTAGAATCCTACAATATGTTGTTCAAAAGAAAAACACTTGAAGTAGAGAAACAAACACAGAGTAAAGTAAGAGTCTAGAGCAGAATCTATTATGCTTCATCTAAAGTAAAAAAGAAATCAGGAGTGGTAATCATGATCTTAGACAAAAAAAAAAGCAAAAATAAATCTAGTTACAAGAGATAAAGTAGGGAAATGACATTTTGCTAATATGTACCACAGAAAATAAAATAATATCAATGTTAAACATACAGGCACAAAATAGTATAGCATCTAAATTCTGAATGAAAAGTTAAATGAGTTACAGGAGGAAATAGATAATAACTCACACAACTAGATAAATCTAACCCTCCCCCCACCCCAAAAAATAAAAGAAAAGTAAAAGAGGCAGGGTATTGGGAAGCATGGGAAAAGTTTATACAAAGCTGAGAATTGTAACCAGATGTCTTTAAAAAGTTGACTGTTCTGTAAGGGGATAATAATAGAATCCATCTCCTAGGGTTATTGTGAAGATCATACGATTGTAAAGTGCTTGGCATAAGGCAAACACTATATGAATGTTAATTTTTTATTATCTCTTTTAATTAGATGTAATTGTTTCTTACTTGATAACTTTATATAGGTTTTCAGATGTTACTAGTATACAATGGCAATGTTGAGATGAATGATTTCCTGTATAAGGTAATTTGGAAGCACATTCACCTAGATTGGTAATGGGTTTGTTTCAAACTTTAAATATATAAATACATAATATTGTTTATGGTATTGTTATGCTTCTAAATTTTCTTATATTGTGTAATTTGGTAAACAATTGTATCAGCGATGTTGTTAGAAAAGAAATATTCTTATAATCTAGATGTCATTAGATTAAGAATTGTACTGTTTAAAAAAAAAAGAATGAATGGATTAGGAAGCTATTAGGTCATTCTAATAGCCCTGCTGACTATGTGTTGTGATGTTCTGAAGTACTGTAATTTAAGAAATTATAAACTTCCAAGTTTTGTCTATATTTAAAAGGAAGTTTCACCCAAAATTATTTGGCCATCATTTATGAAAATTATGAGATTGTTAGCTAAGTTACTGGAGTTATTGTTTTAATCAAGTATTTACATAGGTATTTTAAAAAGGAAAATTAAAAATTTTACAAAGAAAAGACCTTGTAAAATCTCCTGCAAATCTAGAAGGATTCTTAGAACCATCTAGCCATAAATTCTTAACAACTCTGTGCAAGAGTTTTCTGCATTATGGAATTCCTACTGAGCAAATGAGAATTCTTGCATAAAATGGAGGTGTCATTTTCAATCCTGCTTATAATATAGAGTGAGTTTGATATAGTAATATATGTGTCAATTTGGACAGCAATTGGCCAGTGCTGTTTTTCTAGGGGTTTAAGTGAACTATCACATATTCACTATCTATGTGGGATTCCAGGATGTAAATATTTTCTTGATTTCTAGTCATATATTTAAAACCAAAAGGAAGAAAAAGATAATGAGTAAATTTTTAAAGGCCTGGTAAACTTTGTTACTGTGATAAGGCTAATTTAATTAGGTATATTGGGGTTTTTTCCTAGCTTAGAAAATTGGAAATTGAGGGGATACCCATCAAGTGGGGAATGGCTAAACAAGTTGTAGTATGTGATTGTTATGGAATACTAAAGTGTTATAAGAAATGATGAGTAGAATGCTTTCAGAAAAACCTGGAAAGACTTAGATGAACAAAGTGAAGTGAGCAAAACCAGGAGAACACTGTACACAGTAACAGCAATGTTGTACAATAATCAACTCTGAATGACTTAGCTGTTCTCAGCAATATAATGATCTAAGACAATTCTGAAGGACTCATGATGAATAATGCAATCGACC